TATTTTATTCACTTTTCGAGACCATACGTTTATTCTTGAACATCATACCTAACCTAAAACTATAAAAACTTTGATTAAAACCGATAGGATCTTATTTCAATCGTTAATCGAATTTGCCGGTCTCTCGGACCGTGTGACGGTTATTACGTAGCAAAAGTGAGTGACGGATCACCCTGTACCTCTGAGGTACAGGGTGATCCGATATAACTTTAACATTTTTATTTTAACCTTCGAGCGGGCGCGTTGGTGCAAATGTGCTACCAATAATACTTAATAAGGGAGTGGGGCATGAACAAGTGTTTTATTTGTTTTATATCGTTTAGTATCTTCCTAGATATTGATGACAAAGGGTTAATTAAGTTTTTTTGGTTTAAATTTTATTAGTGTGTTTGTCTACAGCGGTTTAAATTTAATTGGAGCAATTTTGCTACCACGCGCCTAATGATGTAAGTATATTTTTAGTTGATTCTTTTTTAATTGTGCTATTTTTTTTTTGTTGTTACTAGTTTAATATTGCTAAAAATATCATTTACCAGTTTCTGAATAATAATAATAATATTATTATTATTATTATTATTATTATTATTATTATTATTATTATTATTGGCATTCCTAATACATGTATAAATATAATAATAACTGTAATTATTATTATTATTAGCTTACCAAAAATGTGTATTTTATTCTATTTACTTTATTTTAGGGCAAAAGGTCTAAAATTCGGTTTTACCTTCACATATTTAATTATTTCTAAAGCGTTACAAACCTGTAGAAGTAATAAAAAAACAAGATGAACGAAGAAAAAATATGTGGATGACAGAAATATAAATTTACGTCACTATTTTGTGACAAATGTAATAATTTTGTTTGTAAAGAGCATAGTGAAAGTACAATTTTGTGTTAAAAAAGTTAAACATATTTAGTTCAAAATGATGAAGATGACTAACTTTTTTATTTTTGTAAAATATAAATATATTATATAAATGTTTAATAGATATAATATTTAAATGTTTAATAAACATATAAAATTAATTATTTAGACTTTATTTATAGTATTTACTGCTAAAACAATATTAAGGCTGTTTTAAAACTATAATTTACAGCTGGTAGCATATTAGCATCACTCATGAAATATTATAGGACGCTGCTCTAGGGTTAAGTGTCCCAAAAAAAATATAAGTGTGGTTATGTAGGTACTAAATAATACTTTTTTCTACGTATAAGAAAGTTGGAAAATTGATCAGTATACAGGGAAAAACAAAAAGTTTATATTGTTTTATTTTAATATAAACTACACTGTTTAAAAGTTTCACTATTTTATTTAAATATGACAATTGTTTCGCTACACAGTAGCATCTTCGATCTGAAGATGCTACTGTGTAGCGAAACAATTGTCATATTTAAATAAAATAGTGAAACTTTTAAACAGTGTAGCTTATATTAAAATAAAACAATATTAACATGGAGTTTCATCAAGTAAAAGTCGAAACAGTTAATTAACAAAAAGTTTATATTTTTTCATTGCATATATAGGGTGATCTATGGATCACCCTATATATGTATTTATTTTTCGATTCCTTGTAAAATTCTAAGCATATTTCATATAACATACCTAAATTCAACCGTTTCTAAAATATTTAAAATATGATTCAAACATTTTTAACAATTGAAGAATTACTAAGCGCCAACTTTTAAATAAAGCCCTTTTGTTTAAAGGACAATATTAATAATATTTAAAATTATTAAAATATGTATTACCTAAATAAAATAAATTTTTTATTTATTATTATTTGGTTTTATTTAAAAATTTATGAACAACAAAATTTGTTTATTTAAAATGTTTAAATATATCGTTTGATATTTAACTTAATATTATTGTGTAAATTATTTTGCATTTATCTGATCATTATAAATATTATCTAATACTAATATATACTAATTATAATTATTATATTAATAATGTATAAATATCACTTCCTTAATATAAAAATATTATAAATAAAACTCTTCTACGAGACATAAATCGTAAATAAATTGAAGACAGCTCTGGTGAAAACATATCCACGCCTTTCGCATACCTTTCCCCGCACTCCGCGAAAGCGGCTTCACTTGATTCAATGATACGGAATAGGCATGTGGTCTGTGTTTAGATCATTATTATGTCTTGTGTTGTGGTTGTGGACTTGGCCTCTTGTATAGTAATAAATGTGAATGTTTAGGGGTCGTTAAGTTATCAATTACGTTAAAAAATGTTGTTCGGGTTATAGATGTATACGTAATCCCACAGTTACGCCATAGTTTAATTTTGGGCATAGATTTTTGGGCTAAAATGGGGATAGTCCCGGATGTGCGAAAGGGGGAGTGGCATTTTAGTTCCGAATTGTTAAAGGAGGTTTCAGTAAACAATAGTTAGTGATTTAGAAAAATCGGAAGTAGCCATTTTGGATAAAGTTATTGATGAATATTTTTTAGGAGATGAGGAAAAAATGAGCATGAAATTATAACAAAGAGTAAACCAATTAGACAGCGTTCTTATCCAGTGTCTCCATTTAAACAAAAAATTATCGATGAGGAGGTAAATAAAATGTTAGAACTAGGAGTCATTGAAAAGTCTAGTAGTCCTTGGGCACACCCAGTTATAGTAGTACCCAAGAAAGATGGTACCCATCGATTTTGTGTAAATCTACGTAAATTAAATAGTGTCACAGAGCGGGATGCATACCCATTACCTTTCATAACCTCAATTTTAAGTAAGTTAGGTGGTGCTAAATATATTTCAACACTCGATATTAAAAGCGCGAACTGGCAGGTAAAATTATTTAACGAAAGTTGTCCTCCTTCAGCTTTTTCTATTCCTGGCCGAGGTCATTTTCAATTTAAACGCATGCCATTTGAGTTGCATAATGCGCCGGCAACTTTCCAGAGGTTAGTATTAGTTAGTATTCTTGGCCCAGAGTTGGAACCTTTCGTATTTATGTATCTGGACGATATAATTATTATCGCACCGAGCTTTAAAAAGCACCTGGAAATTTTGCAAAAAGTTCTAGGAAGGTAAAAAAGGGCTGGGTTAAGTATTAGTAGAAAGAAATGTTATTTTTGTAAACAAGAATTAAAATATCTTGGTTATATCGTAAATAAAGTAGAAACCACCAATATATGAACGTGACTCATCGGGTGCCGAACATATCTCAGACATGCTAGCAGTAATGTTTTACTTGTCTTGTAAATTCGATGCAGCGGTAAATGTTAATTAAAAGCGCGAACTGGCAGGTAAAATTATTTAACGAAAGTTGTCCTCCTTCAGCTTTTTCTATTCCTGGCCGAGGTCATTTTCAATTTAAACGCATGCCATTTGAGTTGCATAATGCGCCGGCAACTTTCCAGAGGTTAGGATTAGTTAGTATTCTTGGCCCAGAGTTGGAACCTTTCGTATTTATGTATCTGGACGATATAATTATTATCGCACCGAGCTTTAAAAAGCACCTGGAAATTTTGCAAGAAGTTCTAGGAAGGTAAAAAAGGGCTGGGTTAAGTATTAGTAGAAAGAAATGTTATTTTTGTAAACAAGAATTAAAATATCTTGGTTATATCGTAAATAAAGTAGAAACCACCAATATATGAACGTGACTCATCGGGTGCCGAACATATCTCAGACATGCTAGCAGTAATGTTTTACTTGTCTTGTAAATTCGATGCAGCGGTAAATGTACTCACACGTAGGTTTTTAAGCATCCGGTCTAAAATGCGCCATCTGTGATGTAAAACTGTCTAGGTGTTCGACAAAGATGGACATATGACGCGAATCCTAGCTTGTTACTTATTTTTGTTGGAATTCAGTAGAGTTCGTGTTTTAGGCAATTTATTTTATTTTATTACATAGTAAGGCAACCAACTCTACCGTCATATGATCTTTGTTTTTGCATATCGTGTTTCTGCTGTATGTTTACGGATTAATAATCGTTTTAAACGTTGTAGTGCTAGTAGTTTTTATTGCAATTGTTATTGCACGTTTATTGGACTTTATTGCAATTGTTATTGTACGTTTTTTGGACTTTAAATAAAGGGTGTGTGTTTACGGATTAATAACCGTTTTAAACGTTGTAGTGGCAGTGGTTTATATTATGTAACACAGGTAGATGTCGTATAAAAATCCTTACCTAGAAATTCTAGGCTAGAATACAAAAATATTTTTATTATATAAATTTTGTACTAGTATTAGTTTAATACATTCTGAAGAAGCTACTGTGTAGCGAAACAATTGTCAATATTTAATAAATTTCGTGAAACTAACGCAAGTTGTTTTTATATGTACACAATTTAAATATCTTTCACTTTGTACCTGACCTGCGTAAACATTTTTGTTTTTTTTCACCAATTCTGAAATATTTGCGTTTACAGTTAAAAGAAAAGTTTATTCATTAATTAGTTTCTAAGAACATTACATTTTGTTTAATTATCGTAGATGTTAATTATTATAATTTAACTTTAAAAGCAAATATATCAGAAGTATAGCAACCAACATTACACTCAAGTTTGTTTGTACAAATACTTATGCCCCTATTAGAACAGCACTGCACTGGAATACAATTTCCCGTGACCTTCGATAGATTGCTTCGTACGATTGTGCCTGATGAGTCACGTTCATATATTCGTGGTTTCTACTGTAGGAAAGGTTTGCATATAGATCCGGGAAAGGTAGCTGCGATTGTTAATATTCTGCCTCCGACAAATGTGAAACAAGTACGCCCTGGGTGGTTATACTCAAATCGTGCGATGTGGTCATATCGTGAGAAAGTGGGCGGAGCTTGCCGATATCATGTCAAAATATAAAATTGCGTATTCTCCAAAAATGTGACTGATCCCATCCCACAATATCAAGAGAAGGGAACATCGCTTGATCCTTAGTAGGAGAACGCGTCGATCGTGTGAAAAATATAACCTAAAAATATTTCTGGTTATTTATATTTTTTGACACTAGTAATAATTATAATTATTATAAGATGAATTTTGAAGACGTTGCGTTGCTTCATGTAATTGATGATGTTGCTGACGCTGAAGAGCAAGTAGATCCCAGGCAAAATCCATTTTTATTGTCCGACGATAAATTTGTAAGATTTTTTCGTTTGACTAAAGAGCTTGTACGACTTGTCATTGATTTACTAAATAAGAAGTTGAACTGTGTGTAAAATGTGCACATTTGGCGATATTTATGATAAAAACAGACGTGCAGGTGCAAAGTAACCCCACTATAGGGTATTTACATTTACAAAATACCATAACGTATCAATTAATATATTATATTGTATTTTGCAACAAAATAAACCGAATATAACACAAACCATAGTAGAAAGACTTACTTAATTGCTTTACCCTGACTAAAACTAAATCTGTGAACAATTACTATCGCACAATCGCAAATAACCTGCAAACACTGCAATTGTCAAAACGACAAATAAACAAAGTCACGTGCAGAAACCCTATAATACGATTGGTTGGTAGATATGTCAACAGCGCATAGCGTATCGTAGACGAAAGCTCACATCCCACAACTTTGAGAATACACATTTTACGGGTCATGCGATGCTGGTGTGATGTGATCTATCGCTCGAGAGAAGGGATTTCTCACTTCTCACGATCTCGAGTATAGGGTATGGCTAGTTGGTATCGTAGGTTTATAAAAGATTATTCAGAAGTCGCTGCCCCTTTGACAAATCTTATGCGTAAAAGAGTCAAATTTAACTGGGATGCTAGGTGTGAAAAGTCATTTGAAGAAATTAAGAATGCGCTGATTTCTGCACCTATTTTAGCTTGCCCTAGGTTTGATATTCCTTAACAGATGCTTCGGCATATGGAATAGGGGGTGTTCTATCACAAAACTATGATGGTGAGGTTGTGTGTTATTTGTCTAGGTCTTTAAGCTCTGCAGAGAGAAAATATACAACGACCGAACGTGAGTGCCTTTCGGTTCTGTGGTCCATAGAGAAGCTTAGGGGTTATCTAGAAGGTGCAAAATTTTCAGTCATAACAGACCATAATAGCTTGTTGTGGCTTAATAATTTAAAAGATCCACAAGGACGTTTGGGTCGTTGGGCTCTTAGACTGCAGCAGTTTCGATACGAAATAATTCATAGAAAGGGGAAAGAGCACGTTGTTCCCGACTGTTTATCTAGGTCCGTTCCTGTCGGTGATGCGGTGGACATTAGTATGGTTGAGATTGCTGTAGTAAAGGATAAGTGGTATTTAAAGATGGTAGATTTAATCAAACAAAAGCCTTTACAATTTTCGCATTAGCGGGTGACAGATAACAAACTGTATAAATATGTTAAGTGTGATTTTCCAGACTTGAGAGATAGTAGAGATTATTGGAAGTCTGTGGTTCCGAAAGAAAAACGGGGTGAAGTTTTGAAAGAATGTCATGATCAGATTACATCGGGACATTTAGGTATCTATAAGACTTCATCATGTAGCCCGCTTGTATTATTGGCCTTCGATGAAGTCTGACGTAAAACGGTATGTTAACCATTGTTAGGTATGTCAAAGGACTAAACCGGAACAAAAACGTCCTGCTGGATTAATGGGTAAGCGCCCAATCGCTACGCGACCTTGGCAAACTGTCTGTACTGATTTAGTATGGCCACCGCCAAAAAGTTCACATGGTAATATGCATATTCTGGTAGTTAGTGACTGTTTTAGTAAATTTAGTTTATTTTTTCCGATTAGGAAAGCCTTGGCTCAGAATGTTGTTAATTTATTGGAGAATCAAGTATTTATGATGTTTTGAATTCCTGAATTTATTTTGTGCGATAACGGTGTCCAATTTAAAGGGAAGGAATTTTTTAAATTAACATCTCATTATGGCATAAGAACGATATTTAATCCGAATTATCATCCGCAAACAAATCCGGCAGAAAGAGTTAACAGGGTCTTGAAAACGATCCTTGCTGCTTATGTCAATGATAACCATAGAACTTGGGATGAAAATATTCAAAAACTTGCTTGTGCCATGAGGTTTGCCAAACATATTTCATAAATTTTGGTCAGGAAATGCATTTACATGGTGACGAGTATAAGGGTGCGAAAAATTTTGAAGGAACCAAAGTAGTTAAAAATTTTGATAATTTGCGGAAATGGGTGTATTCTAGATTGGTTAAGTCATATAATCAAACAAGAGATCGTTACAATCTTCGGCCTAAGGATGTGGTATATAAGGAAGGTGACTGGGTTTGGCGAAGGAATTTTAACTTGTCCAACAGTGCAAATTATTTCACTGCAAAATTATCCGGTAAATTTGTAGGGCCATATCGTGTTAGGAAAAAACTTGGGTATGCCACTTATGAATTAGAGGAAAATAATGTTACTTTAAAAGGAATTTGGCATGCTAAGGATTTAAAACCTTGCTCTAAGGATAGTGAGTCCTCGGATAGTTTGGAGGGTCAAGATTCCGGATAGTTGAATGTCAATTATATTTACAAGTTAAATGTGGTTATTGTGCATTAGATTGTTTTGTAGGTTTATGTATTGGTGAGATCATTAGATAGGTACATTATTTGATTCAGAAAAAAAAGATATAATCTTTTTTTTTTTTGAGAGAGAAAAGGGGGAGTTGTTACAATTTAAAAATTGACACATTTTAAACAATATCCTTTAGAAACAATTATTATTTAATACCTGCAGTGATATCTGTATTATTGATTAATAACTAATTAATAAACAATAAAGTGACCTTTACTTTATTTACGTTTTTTTGCCTATTGTTAGAATGCTGCTTACGCTTCAATGTTTTGGAAGTTGGTAAACCATACATATTCTTAATTTTCTAAATGGGTAATATTCTTAACTTAAGTAATTACAGGTTTCTCAGTGTCGTTAATATTGTTACCATCTAAGCTACTTCTTCCCGCGGATTCTAGAGCCATTTTGTTATTCATTCAGTTCGTTGCAGTGTTGGGCTAAACTTGGGTTTTGTTAGTTAACCATCGCTATTAGCGGATTTTATATGCCTATTCACAAGTAATCAGCGACTAGTTTATTGTACTATTGGTGAACGGATTTTCCGGATTTTTCGCAACTGCTGAATTTTGTTATTGAAGTTGGCGTGGTAAGTTCCTCTAATATTTAATTTTTCTCTTAAAGAAGTGTTCTCTATTTTTGTTCACTGCAAACGCTTACTTGTTATTGTATTTTAGTATGTATTTTTGGTTTTCCTTTATTGGGTAAAAATTAACTGGAAAACTCCAATCTAGTTGGAATTGCGAACTTTGGACCCTGGAAGGCGACCTCCATTTTTTTTCCATTTGCCAACTACCATTTTGTATGGATTTCTATCGTCACGGAGTAAAAGAATAAATCATTTCTGCAGCTTCAACCGTAATTGGCATAAACTAGGAAGCTCTACCGTTACAACATACAACCGCAAGTTGAGGTTTGAATCGAGGTAGGATCATTTAATATATATATATATATATATTAGGGTGAGCCAAAAAAACTAACCTATCGGATTTATGGGTTAAAATGAACCTACATACCGAGCAAAAAATTTCCCTGCAAGGAAAAGTTTTTTGCTCAATTTTAAAAGGTGTCGGTGAGCATTCTAAGTTTTCCATTGAAATAACACGTAAAAAAATCTTTTTTCATTAAAAAGACTATAACTTTTATACCGTTTGAGATACATTTTTTTACGTCGCGGATTCTTGTAGAGCATAAAATTTCCCAAAGAATCCATACTATAGTATAGGATTATTTTTTTTAATTCAAAAATTCGTATGTTTGAAAGCTTTGAAAAGTGTAAAAAATCACTAAAACTGCAGTTTTAGTGATTTTTTACACTTTTCAAAGCTTTCAAACATACGAATTTTTGAATTAAAAAAAATAATCTTGGTATAGATTCTTTGGGAAATTTAATGCTCTACAAGAATCCGCGACGTAAAAAATTTTATCTCAAACGGTTCAAAAGTTATAGTCTTTTTAATGAAAAAAGATTTTTTTACGTGTTATTTCAATAGAAAACTTAGAATGCTCACCGACACCTTTTAAAAATGAGCAAAAAATTTTGCCTTGCAGGGAAATTTTTTGCTCGGTATGTAGGTTCATTTTAACCCATAAATCCGATAGGTTAGTTTTTTTGGCTCACCCTAATATATATACAGTGTGTCCACGGATAGAGTTCGAAAGAAGAAAAACTTTTTTATTTGTAGGTTAAGAAAAAAAGTCACTCTTTATAAAAACGTCTGCTTGTGTTGAAACTACAATTTTGAATACCAAATTTATGATTACTATACAGGGTTAGCCAGAAACAACATTTTTATTTTTTTGGATTTCGTTTAAAATAAATTTACATAAGAACAGACAACTATTGTTGCTTTCCTACTTAGAATATAATTTTATATCTGGCAGAATAACGATTTTGTTGTAAGAAAACTGCTTATTTCTTATTAGTATTTTTATTATTACATGTTTAAGTATTTCTTAATCAGTCTCGTCCCAGCACTTGACTGAGTAGGCCGCTTGTTAGCTGAGTCAGAGCTTAAAACGTAGTGACAAGAAAGAGTTAAGTGACAAGTGTCAGCGTCTGAGCGGTCGCACCATCTGTCAACAGGACGATTTTCACTGGCCAAACAAAAGAGGTCAGTCAAGGGAGGAATAGGCCACCTGCAAAAAATTAATAAGTATCCTCAACTCATCTGCATGACCTAACACATAATTTGCAAATTAAACAAGACAAGGCACATTGCCTAATCCCTACAAAAAAACAATAAACATCGGTAACAATAAATACATTAGAAAGTCAATACTAACAAAAAAAAACAATTTTCCCAATCAGCCTATCGCGGCCATACACCAAATCTGAGCAGGGCAATAAAGCTGTCAACAAAACAATCCAAGACCAACAAAATCGAGACCAAATAAATATTTGACACTTAGAACATAAATAACACTAATAAATTTTTTTCTTGATTTTCTTTATACAAATATTTTTTTTAATTTATTTTATTGTAATTTTTTTTATAAAATCCTACTTGTCCCCCTATGTGCACCCCTTTCGGCTAACATGTATTGTGTTATATTAATACCATAGGTACTAATATGGGCTGCACAGAAAAAAAGGAAT